GGCAGGGGACAGGCTCTCACCCAGAGGCAGGGCAGGGTTCCTGAAGACGTTGCCCAGCGCGTAGCAGGCGTTCCAGCGCACCTTCATGGTGGCCTCGCTGCCCACCGTGGCAATCAGGGCCTGCAGGGACTCCTCGATGGCCTCCCTGAACCTGGGGTTGGCCACGTGGCAGGGCTGCAGGAAATGCAGCACGTTCCCCAGGGCACGCACAGCGTTGCTCTTCACCTGCAACACACAAAAACCCCTCTGGTTTTCACAAGGTTTGGTTTGAATCCTGCTGTGAAATCATCTCAGAGCCAGCAAGGAGCACAGCTGGAATCACACTGGGTCTTCCTAAATGCCACCAGAAAGATCATTCTCTGCAAAGGGCCACAAGCCAAACCAAAACCCCTGCACTGTGGAGAAGCCCAGTCAAATTCCCTGCAACTCAAACAACACAGGAACCCTGAACACCAGCCCTAGGGGAGGGTCTGAGCTGCAGCTCCCCTCAAACACTGGGGCAAAGAGACATAAAATAATTGGTGCCTTTTTCCTGTTCTGTTTTTAATGCAGGGGTTAATTAACTCCACCAAGCCCACCCTGTTCCCCCAGCCTTACCTTGTCTCTGTCCTTGGATGCCTCTGTGGCAGAGCGTAGCAATTTCAGCAGCAGGACATCAGAGAGCTCCTCCTGGAAGCTTTGGCCCATGGTTTCCCTGGCAGGAGAAATCCCCCTGTGAACACCCAGCTGGGCTGCTCCATCCCCACATCACAGATGTGATACCCCCCTTTATAAAGGCCCATGAACAACCTTCACTCTTCAGAGGGCTAATATGTAAGGCAGACCTTTCTGCATGTGACCACTATGTTTATTAATTTAAAACCAAACTATCAATGCAAGAAAGCTGGTTAGCAATGGTTAAATCTGTAATAAAAAACAGAGGGCAAGGAATGGCTCTCAGGGGCAATTCTGCAGCAGGAATATATGATAACTATTTTCCTGTTAAAAATGTAACAGTAGGTTGGGCTTCCCTCAATCTCTGGCTTGATGAAGGGTTAAATATTGATTAATTTTACTTGTGTTATGTTGGAAGTAAAGGAACCATGTAATTACACCAAGCAACACACAAGAAATGGAAAACTGAAAAGTGAAAAGTTTTAAAGAGTGTCTCCTTAGAGTGACAAGGGGGAATGGATTCAAAATGAGTAGGTTTAGATCAGATATTAGATAATAAGTGATCCCTGTGAGGGTGTCCAGAGCAGCTGTGGCTGCCCCATCCCTGGAAATGTCCAGGGCCAGGCTGGACAGGGCTTGGAGCAAGCTGAGATAGTGGAAGGTGTGAGTACAGGATGCTCAGCATCCCACACTGGCAGACACACAGGCAGAGAAGAGAAGGATCCAAGCCAAATTTCAGGGGTTTTTTGATGTTAAGGATCATTTTGGTTGGAAAAGCCCTCCCAGAGCATCCTGTCCAAGCTGTGCCTGACGCCCACCCTGTCCCCAGCCCTGAGTGCCACCTGCAGGGATGGGCACTCCAAGCCCCCCTGGGCAGCCCCCCAGTGCCTGAGCCCCCTTTCCACAGACAATGTGCCCACACAGGGCAGGGGTGCCACGTACATGTTGATGATCAGGGTGTCTGTCAGGTTGCCCAGGGACCAGGCTGCCTTGGCACGGACGTTGGGAGATTTGTCATGGAGGGAGTTCAGGATGGCATTTGCTGTGTCTGCCACAAACATCACATCCTGTAAAGCAAGAAGTCACACAACTCTCAAAACACAGGTGATTCTCTTAGTAACACACTCTGCTTTTTCCAGGAAAAAGGAGAGAGAGACCAGCTCTGCTCATTTACTCTTCCAGGTGACACCTAATGAGCTCATGGTGCTGCCTGACCTTTAATTAACAGCCCAGGCCTGAATGCTGACCAAGTCCACCACTCTTGGGTAGCTGCTGCTGAAAAGCTTCTATGGATTATTTAATTCCATTGGTGATTCAGTTACTTTGGATTTTAACATAATTACATGGACTGCCAACCTTACACCCATCAAATCCCACTCTTTAGTAACTGCTTCTCCAGACTCCCTGTTGAGCTGCCTGCCTAATCTTCTCTTCTATGGCACATTACACGTGCCTATGGTAAAGGATTTTCTTTCAAAATATTTTGGAATTAAACTCCAAAGTCAGCCACTGCATATTTTTTTATTAAAATCACTCACTTAAAGGTTACATTGTAAAAACTAATCTTCCGGCTCAGCCAAGCTAAGATGATACTTTGTAGAAAAAAATATCCTTTTTTTTTCCTCCAAATAAGCTTTATTTCTTAGTTTTAAGCAAAACTGAAGGCTTCCCATTAAGAACTTGTTAGAACCATAGAATCCTGGAGGCTGGAAAAGATCTCAAGGATTGAGTCCAACACCAAACTGCCCAGAGCACTGCAGAGCTGTTCCCTTCACCCCAGCTCCCCCTCACCTCTTGCAGCTCCCCTGTGCCAACCCACCCACCCAGCTCCCACCCCTGAGAGCCTGGGAGGATCCTGACCTCTCTCCTTTCCCTCCCTCTCCTGCTCCACCTCCCTTAAAGCTGCACTGATTCTGCTCTCAAAGGAAGAGCAGGCCTGGAGCCACTAAGGAGAACTATAAATACACTACAGGCTGAAAGCAAAGTGAATTAACTGCAAACAAACCCATGTCCCACATCTTGTGGCTCATCAGAGAGTGGCTCAGAAGAAGGGATGGGCTGGCTCTGACCTGCCTGAGGCACGGGAAGAGGATGTACACTCCCAGGGCACGGGCAGCAGCAGCTTTCACCAGGGGGTTCTCACTGTGGTTCAGGCCCAGCAGCAAAGTGACACACAGGATCTGCTGGTCACCCTGCAAGAGGAGAAAGGTGACACACAGG